ATTATACCCAAATAATTCTTATAGTATTTTTATCATAAAAGCTAAAAACAACTAAAAGCTAACATAACTTATAAGCTTTCAAAAATAAGTCTTCCCAAACACCCTAACCCTCATTGCTAAAGTTCAACCATCCATCTCGAAAAGAAGTTAGTAAAACTATTGATGAAGATACAATTTTTTTTTCAGATTATAGAAATTTTTTTGATCTTTATAATACTTTATCATTTATGAGTTAATTGCCAATTGATCCCTAGTAGTATCACCCAATTGCAAGTTTCTTTTTTACTCTTAAAATTATTAAAAATATTTAAGGAGATAGATAGATTCCCTGTCAATTGCTATTCTTTTACTACGAAAAGAGTCAAAAAAATTCACTAAGAATGTATTTACACTTGAGCCAATACTATGGGGATCTATTCGCCACACATAAATCCACAGGGGTCTATTCACAATTCACCCTTATTTAGGTCTGTCCAAAAAGCTCGTCGGCCCGGGCCCGGGTCCGCTCGTCGGCGCCCGGCCCTGTACAGTACCGGCCGGGCAAAGGAACTGGGCCGGGCAACCAGGACCCAGAGCCCCGTCTAGCGGGCAAAATCCGGGCCGGGTCGGCCCGGCCCAGGCCCGTGTCAACGGTCACCAAAGGTGACTGTTTTCACCAAACTGTTGCCAATGTGACCATTGTGGCCGGTTTGGCCTGGCCATAACGGTCAAATTGGTTATTTTTGACCGTTTTACCCCTAAAAATGGTCAAAAATGGCTATTTGGTGAGAGCTTTTTTGGCCATTTATCTAGGAGTCTGCCTCTATAAATAGAGGGGGGATTTTCACTTCTTCTCCTCACATCAAAACTCATCTACTTCTCTCTAATACTCTCTTATACAATCTAATAATCTCTTATACTTTCTAATCCTTCTATCAAATGACTTCTAAATCTGATTATGAAGAGCAAAACCTATCTCCTACCGATCTTGAAATGAGTCTTCCTACAACAGCTACTCCTACCGATCCTACCGGTGTTAATCCTGAATCCGGTGGCGACGAATCTGCACCAAGTGCTCCTTAAATGCCAAAATTCAATGTGTGGAATTATTTTGAGAAGATAGACGTCACCAAGGATGAACACGGTAGGATCCTCACCCAGAAGGCTAAATGTACGTTGTGCGGCCAGACTTTCCAAGCTCATCATAAGAGCAGCACCAACCACCTCAAATGCTATATAGAAATACACAACAAAGGCCAAAATCCTAAAGGTAATATCCGACAATCTATGATTTCCCAATCCTCCTTTTCTGGTAATCTCAGTAGTTGGAATTATGACGCTGCCCGAGTTAGGAAATGTATCATCATGTTTATCATTCTTAAAAACCTTCCTTTTAAATTAGTAAAAGATGATGAATTTGAAGATATGTTTAGAGATAGTTTTTATCCTAATTTAAAAAAAATCTCGTCAAACCTGTTAACGTGATATTTTAAAATATTATCAAACGGAACAAGGAAAAATAAATTTTTATTTTAAAAATTTAAACTGTAAATTTTCTTTAGCTTCTGATATTTGGACATCTAGAGCACAAACTGGTTATGTATCACAGTACAATGGATTGATAAAAATTAGAAAATGTTTAACAGAGTTGTTTCTTTTATTGCAATTGAAGAGTCACATACTGGTATTAATGTTGTAAATTTAATAATTAAAGAACTTACGAAACTAGAAATGGATTAACAAATATTTTCTCTTTCACTAGATAATGCAAGTAATAACAATGTAGCTGTAGATTTTATCAAAACAACTCTGTCATTGTCATGTCACAGTGATCTTTTCATATTAGACGTATATGCCATATTTTAAATTTAATTGTTCAAAGTGCATTTACTGAAATTAAACCCATAATAGAAAAGGTTAGAACAGTTGCTTATATACATAATGCTTCTGAACAAAGACTTAAAAGATGAAAACAAATTTTTAAAAGAAAAAATATTAAGCTTAGACTAATTCCAAAAGATGTTGACCATTTGTGGGATTCAACCTATACAATGTTAAGTGTGACAATAGAATATAAAAAATTATAAATAATTTTATAAATTATTTTGCTTCTAATTCTAGCTCTGGTAGTACTTATGGAATAACTGAAGATGAATGGACAATTATATGTAATTTAAATGAGATGTTATAAGCTTTTTATGATGCTACAATATTATCATCTGGCTGTTATTATCCAACTATTATTTTAGCTGCTTTATAAATTTTAAATATTTAAAAAATTTACCAAATATCGTATGAATGATACTTTTGGAAGAATAATTTTTCAAATAGAGAGCAAGTTAATAAGTATTTTAGGCCTATTCCTCATATTTTTGGTTGGGAGTTCTTATTGATTCATGTTTGAAGGATATTAGCCTTCAAAGTTTGTTACAATCATTGTATGGTGGACAGATTATAGACTTGGATGATGGATCCACTATTACTGCTACTTCTCATCATTTAGCTATTAGAAATTATTTTTAAACCTTATATGATGAGTATGCAGCTAGACATGGTGTAGCTGCACAACAATCTGCAGCTTCGGCGCCTTCGAGCTCAAGCCGAGATAAAAATATAAGTTTTTATAGCTATGCAATGGTAGCTGAGCTAACTGGTAGAACTGAACTTGGATCATCATTAAAGATTTCTAAAATAGATGAATATTTATCTGCTTCTTTAGTTAAATGTTAAGGAAATGCTTTAGATATTTTACAATAGTGGAAAGTATATGGATCAGTTTTATATCATATACTTTTCACCATGGTTCGTGACTTATTAACAGTGCAGGTTTCAACGGTAGCTTCGGAATCCGCCTTCAGCACAGCAGGACGTTTGATCGACGACCACAAGACATGCTTAGATCCGTATACTATATAAGCGGTGATGTGCTTACAAGATTGGTGGAGGTACGAGAAGCGAACGCAAGACATCGATCGGATGGCTGGAATTGAAGATAAATTTAAAGAGTTAGGACTGACAGATAGATATAAAGAGCAAACAATATTCATCAAATTATAATTTTTATTTCTTAGCCTTAAATTTGTAATGAATTATTTTGGAAACAGTTACAAATGACAGTGATATATGTAAGTAGGTGTCAATCTAGTTGGGATGTACTCATCTATTGTGATGTGATGAATTCCGAAATAAATTTATACTTGTAAAGGATTTACTGATTATTAATAAAGAAGTTATTTTTATTATTTTTTATTTTTATAATTTTTTGTATTTATAATTTATGTCATTTCAAGTTATTAATAATATAATTGTTTTTATTAGCATTTTTTGTAATTATTATATATATTTTAAAATTTAAAAAGATTTTTTAAAAATAAAAAACATTAAAAAATTAAAAAAATTCGGGCCGGGACGGGCCGGATGGACATGCCTACTCTTATTATAAAACCACTACCATTATCGATATTACCCCTACTTTTTCTATTGTTCGTGTGTACATTATTTATGATCATGTTAACGAGACATTGCTTGACGAAGATTATAAAACCAACATCACTAGTAGTTACGCTAATAATACAAAAGCAAAAGCGAGTGAACCGTAGCTATCATTACTTGTGTTCCCACCACTCGGAAGGAAAAGGTTTTTTGCCATATACATGCTTATATATTTCTAAGCAACAACCTATTACCTTTGTATCATGTGATATACATGAAAATTTGACTACTATATTTTGATATTCATGAATACAAAGAGTTAACTTTCTTTTATAATTTATAGGAGCAAACTAGTTACTTTTTTTTTAATCATTTCAGGGGGTGGGGGGACTTTCCGCATACATTTAATTCATGTGCTAGATTAAGGGAAAATGTGATTATATTCAGCGTAAATACATGTTTGGATGGTAATTACTAATTAGTAATAAGTTTATGATATGTTTTGCTAAACTAAACTAACCATGCAAGCGTCTTAAATTCAGCTATGATTCGACATTGTACGTAATGTTTGATAAAAGCAGAACATGGTTTTCAGATCATTATTTTATAATTTATTCTCATATTAAACCCTAAGATTTATTCTTTTTTATGGTAAACCTTGAGATCATTATTGTCAAAAAATTGCGCTCCCAGATTTTCTCATTTACTTGAAATGAGAGTGTTATTTTACAACTCAATGAATTTAGGAATGTATATTTCAAACAAGAAGTTTTACGAGCCTAATATAAAAATAGACCAAAATTTAAGGTCTAATACGAGAAAAATCATATTTACTAAAATCCCCTCTATTTGACGCACGTAAGGCTTAGAGCCAACCACTCGTACGTGGGCAGTTCTGAGACATCTTAAACTTCATATCGTTATATATATAAATCGCGCTTCCAAATTTTCAATTTTGTTGCAAATGAGGATGTTATCTAACAACTTAACGAATTTACCATGTACGTATAAACAAGAAAATTTACAACCCTAAATTAACCAAATAGAATAGCAATTAAGGTTCAATATGAGAAAATATTTTAAATTCCCAAAAATATATATAAAAATAAAAGGGTTAATTGCCGACAGACCCCCTCTAGTATTACTCAATTGTAACGAGACCCCCTATAATTCTATTTGCTGTGAATAAACCCTAAGTAGTTCTATTCCTTGCGAATATACCCATTATAGTATTGGTCTAGCGCAACTACACCCCCCTTGGTGAACTCTTTTGACCCCTTTAAAAATAAAAATAAAAATTAGCATTAAGGTGTTTATCCCTACCAATAAAACTATAGGGGATCTATCCGCTTCCTTAATCATTTTAACATATTTTTAAGAGTAAAAGAAATTCACTCAGGGGGGTCAATTTTGCAACAAGTAGAGCTACAGAGTGCTAATTCGCAACAAATAAACATATAAAGGGCCTCGTTACAATTAGGTGATACGATAGGGGGTCTGTTCGTAATTAACCCAAAATAAAAACTTCAATTCCTTGAATATTTACCCCCCATGGAGTGAACTGTGAAAGGTCTATCACTGTTCTCTGTGGCTCTCTGGCTTCTTCTTACCTTCCCCCGTTACTATAAATGCCTTCTCAATTCTCCCCTCCTCCAATCTCTCTCTCCTCTCTCTTAGGGCATCTCTACCATCTCCCCAAAAGCCGCAGCCATGTCTGCGGGCAGATACATGGCCTATTCTCCTTCTCCCTCAGCTGCTCCTCACTCCCCTCACATCTCTGGGATCCGAAACCCCACCAACCTCAGCCTCGCTGATCAAGAAAAGTTAGCATTTTTACCCTTTTTCGATTCATGGGTCGATCGTTAGTACCCGATCTTTATATGGGTTGCAGATTTTTTTTCTTCTTCCGGTTTTACTGTGATGGGTCTTCGAAATTTGAGCTTATTTCAGGGTTTTATGCGTTTTTTTTGTGAATTTGGTGCTACTTATTTGTACAGGATCTTAAAACGTTGGGTGAAGTTATTGATGTTTGTTTTTTTGTCTTTGCTTATGCCTGATCTTGAGATCTGTATTATGCTCTGTTTAGGGGTTAATTTTGGATTGAATTATCTTTGGTCGAGTTATCTGAATTGAGCTCACCTTTATTGTTATTGTTTTCAAGGTTTGGGACTACTAATGTTTAGATGGGTTGCTTATGATAGTCAACCTGGGCAAAGAGTTCTAGAGTTAATCCTAAAAGAACTTTGTTAGAAGAATAATTGAGAAACAAATGATAATATTTAACTTAACGGAGAAGATGACCCAGTATAGAAATGAATTGAAGAATAGGATTTATGTCGCCAACCCCAAAAATTTGGGATAAAGGCTTTGCTGTTTTTGTCAACGACTAATATATAGCCGTAACTTTATTTCATTCTATAAAATTTTCTGTTGTCAGTTATTTTGAGTGGACGGAACAAGGTTGTATGTGTCTGAGGAGTCTGATATATGATATAAGCAGAGAGATGATTTCTTTTTCTTTTTGTTCTTCATGTCTTACCCATTGTTTGTTGTCTACAGATTCTCATTGTCGATTAATGGGCATTTGAATATGTAAATTAGTATTCTCACTGTTGATTAATGGGTTATATTTATTAATGAGCATTGAATATGTGAATTAGTATTCTAGACATGTTTCTAGCTTGTCAAATTTTTATTTAAGCATTTTTTTTCCTTAAAAGTTTTGTATACTAAGAAGATAAGGGGGAATTCATTTGCAGGTATCTCTCTGAGTTATTGGCAGAGCGTCACAAGCTTGGACCCTTTGTGCCGGTGCTTCCATTCTGTTATCGCTTGTTGAACCAGGGTGAGCTTTGTATTAGTTTATAACAATGGTTAATTTTAATTTTTATTTTTCACTTGTTCATA